ACCGTGAGCGTGCTCGCCGACGCTGGCGCAATCAATGCGACGGCAAAGAGAACCAGAAGAGCGGCGGCAGCCGCGGGCCTGCCGGTGATGGCCATGAATTCCGGTTTCTGACGGAGGAGATCCTAGAGAGCTGATTCGCTTAGGGCTTGGGATTATGCTGGGATGGAGTAGCGAATAACCCTTGTCTATGCGTAGATATTAATTTATAGGGAAGGAAAGGGCGGACATGGTGCTGAAATAATGCAGTAAGTCCGTTCACGCCAGGACTCGTAATCGGCGGGCATTTATAATAAATACCATTTTCATACGCGGTAGCTGAATTTATGTTTTTCGATTCAGCTGTAATTGCAGGCAGACGACGAACGCTTCATTGAACTGCGCGTTTTGTTAATGGGTTCAGTTGGCCGCACACTATCAAGAGTTCGATCAAGTCGATTTACATAAAGGGAACCCGCTTCCTCAGGTCTGTGGTAAAAACGAGTATTCATGGGAAATGGGCATCCATCGAGTCTTTTTCCAGCTTCTCACAGTGAAAACAGGTGAAGACAGAATATTAGACAAGGATAGAATTAATGGCGAGAAACCAGGTAAAAACTCACCCGTTGTACCTGTTGAGGAAATCAATGGGTCATTGATTGGAGGATTCAGAACCCACCCATTGGCATATACACGGAACTCTATTCCTATGCAAAGCGATATGCTAAAACCTTTGGATGTCTTAGCTTTTTAAAACGCCCAAGTCCATGATGGCTTCAGTGTAGCTCCCTGTATTGCGTTATTTGTCGTGCATGTCGTTTATTGTATTGCATTATTTTTCACGAACTCAACGGCCCATTTATGGGCTGAGTAGGCCACAAAGCGGAACGGTGCAAGTAGAAAGGGAAACCATAGGTTCTTGCTGGTACGATTACGAAGGTGGCTGTAAGGTGCATATAAATAGAGGGTCACTTCTCCTCATTCAGGGCAACACAAAGCAATCTCTTTCTACTTTTGTTCCACCATAGAGAGAGAGTATTTGGAAGAGAGCTTTTAAAAAAGATCTCTTGGGTTGGTGAATGGATTAGAGGGCCATGATCAAAGATTTGTTCTTTGAGGTCTTGGAAGGGTCAAAATCAGAGATTTGTTCTCTGAGTTATTGAGAAGTGATTCTTTTGTACTACTTTTCACATCTAGTAGAGCTTTTGTTGTCGCCTGTAGATGTAGGAGGTCAACATTCGAACCACATAAAATTATTATGTTGGTACTCTTGTTGTGAGTTATTCTTTCTTCTATCTTACTTCATGTCGTGAGCATCGCTTCCACTGAAGTCTATATAGGACGTATTACTCTAATAGTGCACCTAGCACATTAGGTAGAATGCAGCGATAAATAATGTCTATCAATGAATTTGTCTGCCATCATTGAGATTTTTCTTCTCAAACAACTACCCACTTTGCTGAATTATGCCCTATACTCTTTTTTAGTCTATCAATGTGAACATAGTATGTATATTGGTGGGGCATTGGTACTAGTGGTAATGGCTTCCGAATCCATCCTTGTTGGAAACCTATCTCTCACTTTCAGATAGGTAGTGCTCACACGTTGGGATTGTTTGGTTCTGTACATGTTGGGCAATGAAAAATTTAGCACATAGATAAGTATGTTCTCTTCAGTCATCATATGGTCGTTTCAGAGATAGGTGTTCGAAATCTATTTCCCTCTGCTCTGTCGGTCCTCTGCACTGGTCATTCACCGCCATAAAGGGATTCAGAAGGGTTCGGTAGTTAGTTTCATACTTATTAGATTTTGTTTAACGAGTTTACTTCAGTTTCAAAGGATATATGTTTTGTGGTCCTGGTCAAAATTTTGCGTTTGATCCCCTATGGGACTCTCTTAACACCAAAATTTACATTCAGATGTAGTATTTTAGAGTGGAAAGTTACTTCCTCACCTTTTTTAGACAACGGTGTACACTGGTCGTCTGCCAGGAAAATTGGCTGCTAAAATTGCTATTAAATGCTCTTTCGTTACATCATAATTTTGTCTGCTTGACAAGCGTCATTTGTATCAGAACGCCTATGGTACAAGACACTACTGCATTCCATCTGTAGGTTATGAATTATCTAGTGTATAACAACTTACGTATGAAAGTATCCCCATAATCATTGGTGTTACTGTGGTTTCATAATCTGCAGGTAAGCTAGTTAAAATGATGTAAGCAATGGACTGGCAAATGACAAGTCTCAGAATTACATTCTTCAAATTAGCTAATTTGCGATACCTAAAATGATAAAAAGTAAGCCAAGGTTTAGTTATAAAAGGACAAATTTTCAATGTATGTTATCAGCCAACCATAGAGTCCTGCAAGGGACATATTTAGTCCTTCCCATCCTGTTGCTTACTACCCCTTTGCACCCGTGTTATACTGCTTCAGATAGTTACAACCATCCACTTGTTCACCCATGAGCTTAGCTCTTCACATCAGCTAGTTCTGATACAATTACAACTATCTCCCTCAACTTGTTCACCCACGAGCTTAGCTCTTCACATCAGCTAGTTCTCATACAATTATAACTATCTCCCTCAACTTGTTCACCTATTAGATTATTTATATTTTTTACATTTTGGGATACGTTGGCATTTTTTATTAATATTTCACTTCCTTTATTGTTAATCTTAGATTACTACTAACCACCATGAAAACTTTTAAGCATTAAATATTCCCTGTATTAAATTAAGCCTGCCAAATGGCATACAATACTAATCAATGAATTAAGCTGCCTCAAAGACATGGAGATGAAATCCTTTTGAGACAAGTTTTTCTACATACTTAATGTTCACCTATGAGCTAGTTTGTTTGTCATTCGAGGTGTAGATTAAATTTTACCATCCTTCACCTTCAAACCAGAACGGATTGTAATTCATTAATGCCATGTTTTATTTATGACACAAACTACACATCATCCCACCGGTACACCACGTAATAACCGGCCACTTACCTACACTTGTCTGATTAACCAAGTCTGAAATCCAGGAGCAAGAGGGCACGTCGCCTGTACGATTTAAACTGGGGATCGTGCAGCCCGGTTCACAACGAAGTAAATGGCCATTTATTTACCCATGTCTAATCAAACAGGATTTGCAACCCACAACCGAGAAAGGAGGTCACCGTCCCGTATAGCACACCATCTCCACGCTCCTAAAGGGAACCTGCGGCAGTAGCGGGTCTCCTCGTCCAGACATTGAGAGCGATAGCCGTTATTGCAGTGGGGGTCCCTGTACAGGACGGCTTCCTGCTCCTCCGCGACCACGAAGTGGAAACCGCCCTGGTAGCCAGTGAGGTTGAAACAGCCGAAGTCAGTGATGTCCTTGCTCCGTCCACTGCTTCGCGGCCCGGAAAGACGTTGACCTTGTTCGCCGACGCCGGTACAGTTAATGCGAAGGCAAGGAGAACCAGGAGAGCAACGGCCGCGGGCTTTCTGTACTGACCTGCGATTCCTGACATAGGTGCGCGGTCTTGTCCGTTCGCGGAGGCTATTGTTATAGGGGCAGAAAGGGCAGACGTGGTGCTGCAAGAATGCGATAGCTTCATTCACGCAACCCAGAAAAACCATGGGTTCTCGAGACCCGGATTCTTAATTGGCGCGCATTAAAAATTATTAATTTTCTCATATCCGCAAAGTTAGAATTTATTTTTGTGGGTTGATATCCGCTCACGAGCACATGCGGACGGTGCCGTTGAATTTCTGTTTAAATAGACGCAGATGATTACTCTCCTTGAATGGACGCAGATGATTACTTTCCTTGAATGGACACAAATGATTGTACTTTTGCGGATTTTGACGCGGTCGCCGTTTGTTAACGGAACCCACTGTTTGAGAGTGGTCAATACAGTATAATATGGATAGAAACGAAAGGTATGCAATTTTGTCAACTTTCCCCGAGTGGAATCCAGCGAATGGCGAAACTATCTACTAATAGAATAATCATGTGAATACAGTACGAAATAATGTAGTGGTCGGATATGTAAGAATTTGCTCACGTATCTTCACAAAATAGAAGGGTCGTTCATGGGCGGAGGTTGAAACGGAAAAAGGTTCTGCTGAGCCTCGTGCCCTTTCAATTGCTTCAGTAGAAACTTTCAATGGCTTAGCTTTCCCAAACGCGCAAGTCCGTACCCCTTTAGGATGCTCGCTGTATGATATAAACATGGAGAACAAGACGATAGATACTGCTCAACAGATAATCTGGCTGTCATTACCAGCTAGTTTAGCCAGTCAGAAAATCCGATAGGTTAGAAATTCTCTTTTGTATTCAACGAATCTATTGATGGTCGACGAGAAAGGATGGACACCTTGATGGTCTGCCTGGCAATGGTTTTGCAATGCATCTCAATTGCAACTAAAGCTCCTACTTCTCAGATTGATTTTCCTTTTCACATTGTAAGAGTTATGTTCCCTTCATGGAAACCAACAGAAAATTAATCGCAACATGAATGAAAAGCATAGAATGTCTACATATAGGTTGATATGATTATTTACTTAGTGCAAAGAAAATTTTGAGCATCAGCTTCCGGGTCATAGAAACTATCGAATAATTTTTTCATTTAATCCCTTTTATCCTACCTCATCCAGTTCGTTTGCCTCTACTAAATTGTGCTAAAGTATATTTCCCTCAACCCGACTTAAGACAGATAATCAATAACGTTTATTTAAACGATATCAAAGAAGCTCTATATCGCAGGTTCGAGTACTTCCGACACTTAAAATTAGAAGACGAACTGCAGCACAGCGTTTAGATTATTGACCTATCTAAAGACTCTGGTGGATGCACTTATCCGATAGTATTTCGTACTTAGGGCCATTAATAAGGTTTTGGCTACAAACTATTCTCCCATGGGTTACTTATCCTTTACAAGTACTCATCGTCCGGCCCGTATACAAAGAAGTAACCGGCCTTTTATTCACCCATTATTATTCAAACAGTTCAGAAATAAGAGAACGAGAGCATATCGCCGTCCTTTAGCACACCATCTCCACGCTCCGGAAGGGAAACTTGTGGCAGTATCGGGTCTCCTCGTCCAGCCATTGAGAGCGATAGCCGTTGTTGCAATGGCGGTCCCTGTACAAGATGGCCTCCTGCTCCTCCGTAAACACGAAGTGGAAGCCGCCCTGGTAGCCGGTGAGATCGAAGCAGCCGCAGCCGTTGATGTCCTTGCTCCGTCCGCTGCATCCTGGCCCGGAGAATACACTGAGCGTGCTCGCCGACGCTGACGCAATCAATGCCACGGCAAGGAGAACTAGGAGAGCGGCCGCAGCCGCGGGCTTGCGGGTGATGGCCATGACTTCCTGTTGCTAACGCAGGTGGTTCTAGAGAGCTGATTCGCTTAGGGCTTGGGATTGCTGGGTTGGAGTAGTGAATAGCTCTTGTCCATGCGTTTAGGTCAATTTATAGGGATGAGTGCTTTGACTTATTCCCCCGGGATCCACGTCTCTTGTTAGATTGATTTGGGCCGGCGGAAGAGAGGGCAGGCGCGGTGCTGAAATAACGTGGCAACATCATTCAGGTCACCTAGAAAATCCATGGATTGTCGAGACCCAGATTTCGATTGCGAGGTCATTCAACCTTATTCCCTTTTCATACGCGGTGAGTACATTTATTTTAATTTGTTGACATGTACTCACGGAGACACGAGAACGGCGTCGTTGAAGGCCCCGCAGTCGATTCTACGCGGGCGGAGTTTTCACGCGGACCACCTTCGTGAGGGAAGCCATCGTTTTTGAGCGCTGAGAACAATACAGTGTCTACCCCAAAGGAAGTCGATGCCATTTTGTTGAGGTTCTCGTGATAATTCAGATAAGGACGATGTTTTCGACCAAGATATCTATTGGTAGAAAAAAACTCCTCACCGGCTCCAGCTATGAGAAACTGTACAAACTCCAAATACGTCTTTTCCCATTACTACATTTTTTTTTATTACTGACCTGACATTGTGAGATCCCTTCTTCTAGATCCACCACGTCTAGCTCCCACATCGTACAACCACTGAACGAGACAAGTCGTCCAAAGAGGCCTTAGTCGTCTGTTTTTTATTACAACTGAAACAAATAAATAGTATTTGAATAACCGCCCAATCGAGATCCGGGTCACGACGACCCACGGATTTTCTCGGTGGCGTGAAAGAATTTACCGCATTCTTTCAGCACCGGATCTGCCCTTTCCACTCCTATAAATTATCCCCCGTGCAGGAACAACAGCTATTCACTACTCCAGCCAAACATAAACCTAAACCCTAATTGAATCAGCATCTTACGAGCACCTCCGTCAGGAAGCACAAGTCATGGCTACCATGGGGAAACTCGCGGCCGCCGCCGCTCTCCTGGTTCTTCTCGCCGTTGCATTAATTGTGCCGGCGTCGGCCAGCACGCTCACCGTCTTCCCCGGGCCGGGATGCAGCGGTCGGAGCAAGGACATCACCGGCTGCGGCTGTTTCGACCTCACCGGCTACCAGGGCGGCTTCCACTTCGTGTACACGGAGGAACAGGAGGCCGTCCTGTACGCGGACCGCCACTGTAAGAACAGCTATGGCACAAGATTTCTAGACGAGGAGACCCGTTACTGCCGCCGGTTCCCTTTTAGGAGCGTGGAGATGGTGTGCTAAGGGGACGGCGACCAATTCTCTTTCAATGCTTTTGGCATAGTTTGAGTAGTAGTGGGTGAATAAATGACCGGTTACTTAGTTGTGCTTTGCTCGATGATGTGTACTTGTAATCATAAATAGTGTATGGGAGGAAAGTATGGTACCGAAAGTTGTTTAATGGTAATTAGTACGAAATGGTATAGGACATGTGTATCCGGCGGGGGAGTGTGTAGATCTTGCTTCGTGAACGTTATAATGGCTGAGAAAATTGAGATTCTTCGATAAGGTTCAGAGAAACGTGATTAATAATGAGTTTCGGTATGGTTAGCTGGAAATATATGTTAATGAATTTAGTGAGTGCCCAACGACATACATGGCTGGTGTATTTTTGATAGGATTAAATGGAAAGAAGCCTTCATTTCTGAGATAGGCTGAAAATCTAATATTTATTTCGCGTTCTATTCAAGACCTTCCATACTTTGTGCGACACTAAAGCTAATGCACAAATTTCTCTTTGGACAGGAGCATATACATATATTTTTCGTTAAAGACGATAGATTATGCGGGCATAATCTCATTCAGGTTGTGATCGATTTCCCGTTGCCTTCCATGAAGGGAACCTAGCACTTTCAATCTGAAAATGGAAGTCACTTCGGTAGTGGGGAGGGACCGTACTCTGGTAAATAGGAGTTTGGGGTTCAATTGACGACAGACACCATCTCTGCGTCTCTCATCTTGTCGACGGACATAAAAAATGTTCACGTCAATAGATTCGTTGAGAGAGACAAGCAAGCGAATGGACGGGATTTTCCGTAAGAGATAACTAGCCAGTTCTTCTAGTCAGATTCGCTGTTAACTGTATCTGTCGTATCGCTCTTCACGTTAAGAGTGGCTGAGTTCTTGCACGTTTAAGAGTGATAACCCATCGAAATTGTTTTGGTGGGGCCGCTGGGAGGACATGAGGCTCAGGACGAACGATTTCCGCTTCAAACTCCGACCACTAGATCGGTTTTCGGTATAGCGTCCATATCATTTTCTTATATCTGTAGATATCTTCGTCTATAACATCGCTGTTACCTGGCTTCATCTCAGAAAACTTGACAAATAAGCATAGAGTTTCTTTCCCATTAATACTTTTCTCCCATGGCGAAAGCCGACCACGTCAAAATTGTCATGAGCACGGTGATAAAGTCTATTAAAACAGACTTATCGCTCAACGACACCGTCGTCAAGTTCTGGTGAGCAGACGTCAACCGACGAAATTAATTTCAAACTGGGCAGATAAGAGCAAAGTAATTATTTGAATGCACGCCAGTTCAGAATCCCGGTCTCCATCATCGATGAACTTATGTAGTGGCGTGAATAAGTTTAACGCATTATTTCAGCTCCGTGTCTGCCCTTTTTCCACCACCTATAAATTAACCTTCGTGAATCGAAAATACCTCTTAACACTCCATCCCAGCTTAACACCAAACCCTAATCGAATTAGATAATCACCGGTAGGCCCAGGGCTGCTGCCGTTCTCCTGGTTCTCTTTGCCACCACAAGGATTGTGTTGAGCCTTAGCCTCAACGAGGAATCCACGTGGACCAAGATCCCGGATCCGATCGCAGAAGGTAATCGGGTATACGGAGCCTGTGCAAGAAACAGCTGAACGGTCGGCGACGGCCGAGGACGACGACCGTTCCGGTTAACGATTAGCAGGGCTGGTAGGGCCGTTAAGCGACCACGAAGATTCGGACAGAATGACCAAGGTAATCCGGCAGCCCTACCGGAAGAAGAAAAGGAGCGGGCAGCAGAGAAGAAGGAAGAAGAACCCCGGAGACCCGCCATCTCGAAAAGGCGACACCACCCCCGCCCTCGGAGGAATCTTGCGAGAGTCACTCAATTTTAGAAAATCCATGGATCGTTTAGATGAACATTTCAGATTTTTCTTGATTTTTTTAGGAATTTTTGGAGCCCATTTGATGAGGTTTTTGCATGGCCAAACCTCCGAGTTTACCCATAGATAGAACTGCAAAAAATAGAAAAAAAAGGTAATTGCCCATCCACATTTGATGTGATGCTTGACAAGTCAACTTTCCAACAAGAGGTTTTGTTATTTAGTAATTGTTGTTGCACCCATTTTTCTCTCTCCTCAGACAATTTATAAAGAGACTCAACTCTTATTTTAAATGTGATGTGATGCTCGAGAAGTCAACTTTCCAACAAGAGCTCTTTTTTTAGTAATTGCTGTTGTACCCCTTTCTCTCTCTCCTCATACAATTTATAAAGAAGGTCAACTCTTATTTTAAATGAAATGAACATTTCTCTTCTCAATCTAAGACTTGCTGCCACCTGCATCCTCTCTCCCTTTTTCTCCTCAACTCAGTCTCTTTCATTTAGGTTTTTACTTCTACACCAGCCATACGCTCTTATCTTTGCTGCTGTTAAGGAAGCAACCGATGTCTATTGAACATCAAGCTAGCTCCTTACCGATACATGGCCCGGCCCATTGGGTGACAGTTATGTTTATTATAACTATTCACGCCAGCTCATGTGTTCAATCTATATCATCCGGACTTCTTTTTCTTTCCTCATTTAGGAACTTAACTCCTATAAAAGAAGATGTACTAACTCATCTAAAGATGATGAGTGATACCCTAATTTCAGAGTTCTCTTCTTCTCTCTCCACTTCTTTCTTCCTCTTTCTCTTCATGGTATCAAAGCCAGCGGCGGAACTACTTTCTTGAAATGATGAATTCCATGGCTTCAATGGAGATTACACTATGAGGAGACAATCAAACAGTCTTCCCTTAGCCAGCTGCATCGAATCCGATAGGACTCCACATCCCTATTGAGCTCACGTGAAAGATTTTTCTTCTCTAGAAGACACAACTATTCCCTTTACTGAATTGCTAAGATCTTGCACATATTCTCATGCAAGACCCTCTGATTTGAACGCAATAGGACTTGCAAGGAGAAATCACTATGAATCCAACATATCAAATATGGTGGTGACAAAATCAACATGTGTTTTCCCTAATTGTCTCCTCTCTCTCAGAAGAAGTGCTTCCCTACATTGTTGTGAAAAACACAACAAAGGAAGCGTGGGAGGTACTTTCTAAGAATTGCTCTTCTACTAATTCGTCATGCATTGTGCACTTGCATAATTGCCTCCACAATACCTTGAAAGGTACACTAGATCAATTGCTGATTATGTGCAGGAAATTAGGTGCACATATGATAAATTGGTGGCTGCTAGACATCTAGTTCAAGAAATTGTGTCCATTTATGCTTTACTCAGAGGTCTTGGACCATTCTATGCGGCATTCAATACTAGCATTATGTCCAATCTGCATAATCTTTGCTTCAAGGGTGTTGTCACTCAAATCAATTCACATGATGAGTTGGTCACCTTCTCAAATCCTCTTAGAGACATCGTAACTTTGGAATTTCCTCCCATAGTGAATCAAACTCAGTTTAATGCATCGGAGCATGGTTGAGGAAGACCCGAAGGACAAAATAACAAAGGAAAAGGGTGCAATTGAGGAAGATACATGCCACGATGCCAAAGTTTTGAACAATTTGGTCACCAAGGCCAAGATTTCTGCAAACGGTTCAACAAGATTTTTTTCAGATGGCAAAATTCTTCTAGATCCCCACAACCAGCTTCACAAGCCTATAATATGAGCATGCATTTCATCTAGCTCTGTCGGAAAACTCAGCATGGTATCTGAACAACAGAACTACTCATCATGTTACTTATGATCCACAAACACTAGTGGATCTGGAACTCTACCATGAAAACAAGCAACTATAAGTCAAAAATAGATCAGGTCTGTCCATTCACTTTACTAGTTCTGTATCTTTGTTATCAAGTTCAAAGGAACAAGAAGATGCAGAGGATATGAACTTGATAACAAAGATGTAGAACCTCGCACCTTAGTCATCATTATTATGTTATATTTTTGGATGACTTCTTAAAGTATACATGACTTTATCCCCTCAAAGTGAATAGTGAGGTTCTATATACCTTTATGGATTTTTAGACTCGAGTGGAACGACAATTCAATCTGAAAATTCATCATTTTTAGTTAGATTGGGGAGGAGAATATCAATCCTTGAGCAAACATTTGAAGCAACAAGGAATTAATCATAGTGTCCTGTCCACACACCCCCCCTCAAAATAGTACAGTTGAAAGAAAGCACCGGGATCTAATTGAGACTGCTCTATTTCTACTCAAACATTCATACCTTCCACATGTTCTAGGATGAAGTAGTTTATACAGCTGCTTACTTGATCAACAAGATCCTAACACCTCTATTAGCTATAAATTCCCTACTATTTGATTTTTAATCAACAACCTGACGATCATTTCTTGCAAAATTTTAGATGTTTATGCTATCCTTATCTTCGCTACTATACTGATAACAAATTAGACTCAAGATCTGAAAGGTGCTTATTCATTAGCTATAATGGTTTCCATCTTGAGTACAGATGCCTCTCCTTGTCATCAGGTCGTTTATATATCTCACTAGACGTTATTTTTTATAAAAATAACTACCTTTATGTAGAGAAGACTGGTAACATTTATCCCTCCACAAAGCCCCCCCATGGAATTCTGGACTCTCATTTAGTCCCCATACTTTAACCTAACTTTCACCATCTACCTTCCTTGATCTAACTCCATCAGCCATATCAAACCCAATTGACTCATCCCAATCTCCACATTCACCACTTGGGCCTACAATTGACCTTGACACATTCAATTCCTCATCTCCTCTATCAAGGCACATTCCTTCTGATGATCTCTTATCACCATCAAATCTTAACCATCAATCCTCCCCCTTGTGTGTCAAAACCAAGCCTCTTGCACACATTCTTCAATCACTTGATTCGGCCAAACCCATCAAATACCCTCTTCTTGAGTGTTTTTCCGTTACCTCAGCCCAATGTACTAAGCCCTAGAACTTCTCCTCTACTTACAAACAGTTTCACTAGGTCAATGCGATGAATGAAGAATATCAGGCCCTCCTTCGTAATAACATATGGTTGCTTGTTCCCTGCCCATTCAACCACTCAATAATTGGTTGTAAGTGGATCTATCAAGTTAAACACTCACCAGATGAGAAATTCAATTGATTCAAGGCTCGCTTGGTGGCAGAGTTTCATCAGGAGGAAGGTGTTGACTATCATGAGACGTTCAGTCTAGTGGTCAAAGTCACAACTATTAGACTATTCCTAGCTTTTTGCCATCAGTCAACGATGGCAAATTCATCAACTTGACATCAGTAAAGCTTTCCTTCATGGAGATTTGAATGAGCTTATCTATATGGAACAACCTCAGGGGTTTGTCCATCTTGCTTACCCAGATCATGTGTGTCAATTGAGAAAATCATTGTATGGGCTCAAATAGGCACCGCGTGAATGGTTTTGCAAGCTCACTAGTCAACTCCATTGTCTTAGCTTCATAGGATCTAAAATGGACACCTCACTATTCTTCTCCTACTCTGTCCCCATTTACATTCTCATATATGTCGATGATATTCTGACGCTTGGACCTTCGACATCTCAAATTGAGAATCTCATCAAATCTCTCAGTTCGTATTTCTTACACAAAGATCTGGGCACTGCTTCATAGTTTTTGGAGATTGAATTCTAGCCACATAAAGATGACTACTTGCTTACTCAAGCAACCTACACGGTTTCTATACTCAAAAATATGTGTATGGAACTTAGAAAATTACTACCTATTCCAAGCCCTGTAGTCTGCTCTATTTCAAAAGCCAAAACACTTGAGGATCTAGCTGTCTATCAGAGTGTTGTCGATGCACTTCAGTACCTCAGCCTTACTCAGCCAAACATTTCATTTGGCATCAACAAGGCCTGCCATTCCATACACTCGCCGAAAGATGCTGATTCGGTCCATCTTAAACATCTCTTACAGTATCTTAAAGGGACCGTCACCCATGGTCTATACATTACTGCCAGTTCCAATCTCACTCTCACAGCTTACAGTGATGCCGACTGGGCAGGCAATGCCTCTGATCGCTGATCCATAGGTGGATTCTTGGTCTATCTCAGCTAGAACTTAATCTCTTGGTGCTCTAAGAAACAGCCAATGGTTGTCTGATCGAGCACCGAAGTAGAATATAAAGCTATTGCCGACACCACATTCGAATTAATTTGGACTAACTCTTTCCTTCAAGAATTATGCATCACCACATCACCTCCCACACTATGGTGTGATAACATTGGTGCCACATATCTCTCTATCAATCCCATGTTTCATGCCCGTATGAAACATATTGAAGTGGATTTCCACTTCGTATGAGGGCTAGTTGCAGCACGGAAGCTTTGAGTGTGTATCATCCCCAGCAAAGATCAACCTACTGATCTCTTGATGACGTCTCTTCCAAAACATTGGTTTCTTCCTTTTCAATCCAAGCTCAATGTGATTCTGGCGTTTCACTTGTACGGGGATGTTAAGGAAGCAACCGATGTTCATTGAACATTGGGCTAGCCCATTATTGATACATGGCCCGGCCCACTAGGTGATAGTTAAGTTTATTATAACTGTTCATGCCAGCTCATGTGTTCGATCTGTATCATCCGGACTTCTTGTTCTTTCCAAATTTAGGAACTTAACTCTTATAAAAGGAGATATACTAACTCATCTAAAGATGATAAGTGATACCCCAATTTCATAGTTCTCTTCTTCTCTCTCCACTTCTTTCTTCCTCTTTCTCTTCAGCCACTGCCGGTACAATTTTTACAAATCTTAGCATGGCCCTTGCGCTTCCTTGGTTTTTTTGTATGCGTTTGGGAGACCGTTAAGCTGAAGCTACAGGGTATCCTGGGGTCGGCGGTGTCCAATTGTCTCTCTTCCATGAGGGAACGGGTGCTGGCGGAAGTCAGGGACCAGATCCAGCATGTCCCAGAATTCTCCGCTGATCTCGCTGTCATGGATCAAATCAGCACGTATTTCCTGGAGGTCGGAGGTTATCTGAACGATGACAACATCGGGATCATTGGAATATATGGGATGGCCGGTGTCTGCAAGATCACCCTCCTTCAGAATATCAACAACAAGTTCCCCCAAATCGGAGCTGGAGGATTCGATGTGGTCATCTGGATCATCGTCGCCAAGGACTCACGCGTTTCAACGATCCAGGAATTGATCGGAAATCGACTCGGTTTATCCCTCTCAGGAGAAGCCAAATATCCGTCTTCACAAGCGGATGAACAAGCTGGTAAGATCTTCAATTCTTTGCTATAGAGGAGGTTCTTGTTACTGTTAGATGATGTATGGGAGAAATTTGATCTGAGCCACTTAGGAATTCCTCCTCCGGCTGCTGGAAACAAGTGTAAGATCATCCTGACGACTAGGTCAAGAGAAAGTGTGCAGAGATATGGATGCTAAGAGATTGATCAAGGTGAAGTTATTGAATGAACGTGATGCGTGGAGTTTGTTATGGAGAAAGTGGGTTCAGAGGTAGAGCTACAGAGCCCACCCATCAATGCATTGGTCAAGATCGTGGTGAAGAAATGTGGCGGTCTACCTCTCGCTCTCATCACCGTTGACCGATCCATGGCATATGCCAGGTCTGTCGAGGAGTGGGAGGATGCTCTGCATAACTTGCTGGAGACACCACAGCAAGTGCGGGGCATGGAAGATGAGGTACTTTCTCTTTTGAAGTTCAGTTTTGATAGGCTGGGAGATGAAAACGTGAAGAACTGCCTCCTCTATTGCTCTCTTTACCCTGAAGATTACGAAATTAATGTAAAATAGCTCATAGAGTACTGGATCGGCGAAGGATTTCTGTACACGGCAAATTCGGAGAGCGTCGTCAGAGCCCGGAAAAGGGGGCATGCTGTACTAACAACGCTTTTTTCCGCCTGCATGTTAGAAACCACGCCGGTAATAAGTACAGAGCATGGTGTGGGGATAACATTGAGTAAGTATCGAGTAACGATGCATGATGTGGTGCGTGAGATGTGTTTGTGGCTCACTGGAGGCGAGTTTGATAAGAGCAACACTTATCTGTCCTGCGCGGGCTACAGGGATATCGTTCCAAGATGTGAACTACGGAGAGATGCAAGGAGGATATCGTTGATGGACAATGCGGGAAGAATCCAGCTCTCAAAGATACCGCCGTGTCCTAATCTGCAGACCCTTTTATGGAAGTCGCCATTCATGCCTCCCTTCAAGTTAATGCCTGGCTTGCGGGTCTTGGATCTGTCTGGCAGTAGAGTGCAGAGCCTTCCGGATGTGATCGGCTTGTTGTCTGAATTACGTTGCCTGAAGTTGAAAAACATTGGGATTGAAACATTGCCAAAAGGATAAGGAAAGTTGACAAACCTCAGGCTGCTCATCTTGGACGGTACGTGGCAGCTCTCTAAAACTCCCCGTGAGGCGATTGCCATCTCTTAGCGGATTACGAATATTAGGATTGTACGGAGTAACCCAGGATATATTTGGCTTCTACAAGGTTGGTTATTTTGATAGTAAGGAAGAAGTAATGCGGTACTCATCTTCCATGCTGAGTATGGCCGACATGGAGCATAGTTTGACCGAATTAGAGGAGATACGACTCATTATCAGTACCTTGGAATCTCTTGAATTACTGCTCAGACATCGTAGGCCGTGCCGATGCACGACAAAGCTTGAAATCGATGTACGATCCTCACTTATTACAGCCGAACATTTATCACAAGTTTTAAGTAAAATTGAAAACCTGTTTAAGATCCGTGTATGTGTTGGTGGCCGGTGGGATAAGGAACTTCAACTACATCACCGACAACTACTAGATAGGATGACGATGACCATATCTCTTCATCATTCACGGAATCTTCGTGTTTTGTCCCTATCGGGCTGCGATGGTCTCCGTGACCTGACATGCATTAGAAAGTTGGCCTGTCTTGAGAAGATCATTTTGTCTGATTGTAGAGGGATGGGGATATTGATAGGCGAAGAGGAAAGAGGCCACGAAGTCTCCTCGGATTTTGACTTCCCTCTCCTTCTCCAACTGAAAACAATCACCCTTTGGGAGTTCCCTGCATTGAAGATTATAAGCAGTCAGCCTATGCTTCTCCCCTCTTTACAAGTCTTTGAGGTATATCGCTATCCGTTGTTAGAGAAGATTCCCTTTGGAAGTGGTAGCAGCAAGAAAATTGCAATTATCAAGGGTGAGAGAGAATGGTGGGATGGTTTGAACTGGGGCGAAGATGAAGAAGGCCAAAGCATCAAGCACCAATTCTCGCATGTGTTCCACGAGACACGACCATATTAAAGTTCTTCTAGTTAGAAGTGACGAGATTACACAGAATTGGCGGCTGAGATGGAAGATCAAACAAGCACCATTAAAGGTCATCCTTTCTGAAGATGTTTCTTCCTCTTTGCTCTTCGTTTCCAAATATATGGGCTCGTCAGTTTAAGATTTTCAATGCGATTTCAAATGTACCTTCAAACTCGAGACATTCATCAGTATTTTCATACTTTTTCGTAAGATCATCTCTTGCTCAAATAAGGCTCCTAAAGTTTTTAAAAATTGTGGATTCATCTTTGAAAAGTTCTGGATTTCAAAATGTGAGATGTAGAAATTACCAAAAGCATTGAAAAAGTGGGATGGGAAATAGTGAAGTCACCATAGAAACAAAACAATCCACTTTATTTTAGATGGCTTTGTTACAATTTTATATCTCATCACTTTGAAGTAATGATTACGAGTTCTATGAAATTGCAAATGAGCAATATAGAATGCAAAAATGAAACATCGATGGTGATGTTTTGTGTCCATGATTTTTCTTGCAATGATTTCGACTATAGTTTTATCTGAAATAATTAATTAGTTCTAGTGATTATTCACTATTTACCATTATGTTAATCATATCTAGTTAATTAAAATAAATGAAAACAAGGGATGTAGTGTTGAGGATAGTTAATTATGTTTATGTGACTACTGTAACTTAATTCTAATGATGCATTAGGAGAGAGAGAATGCAAGAAAGAAGTGGGGAGAAAGAGGTGAGAAGTGGTAGAGAGAGAGAGGGAGGGAGAGCAGTATTGAGGTGGCGACCGTCAGTTTAGAAATCAAATCAGCTATATACGGAAATAAATGTATTCCAGGTACATTTAGATACGTACACAAGGTTAGAAGTACAAAGACGATTGTCGATCATTACAGCAGGCTAAACAAAATTGCTTTCCCAATTCGGGATCACGTGGAACCAGAGGCGGAGGATGGCGGGCAATGGCATCTCCCGACCACCTGTTTGCCCTTCGGAACAACTTCTATCTGGGCGCGTACCAGGCCGCGATCTCCAACGCTGAGCGGCTCCGCAGCCTCTCGCCCGGAGAGGCCGGCGAGAGGGATTCCCTCGTTTACCGCGCTTAAATCGCTCAGGGGTCCTACGAGGCACCGACGATGCGACTTGGCTGTCATTGTTTTCCTAAAACTTCCGATCTCGCTCTCTGACCTGAGCACTAAATTACTTCCAGTTCATGCTCTTCCATGAGCATCTTACCCTAAAAATATGGACATTCATCATCTGTTCTAAACAGGAATCTGTGATTTCAAGTGTTAAAGAATGGCTGAATGATCCAGCCATTGGAAATAATTCTGTGCTACGGTTGGTTGCGGGGACCATATATATGCATGAACAGGACTACAATGAGGAGCTGAAGCATACCAATGCTGGAGGAACCATGGAGCTGTTAGTCCGAAAGACTATTTATTTATTTTAATTTTAATACGACAGTAATAAAATAAAAGATATGATACTTCAAGCTCATATGTTTCTAGAAAAGGATACTGTTTCCTCTTTTAACTTCTCTATAATCAATCATTTCTTTTATTCACAGACATGCACTCAACGTGCAAATATACCTGAAGATGCACAATGCTGACTATGCAGGGAAGCAACTTAGGATCATGCAACAGATCGACGAAGATCACACACTGACTCAACTGGCGACTGCTTGGCATGACCTTGCTGTGGTGGGCCCTCTTTTACTTTTTTGGAAATATATATGTGAACTATAACTTTATAAATATATATCTTTCTGTAGCTGATTCTTCTCTCTCTCTCTCTCTCTCTGATCGTAGGGCGGCTCGAAAAATTTCTGATGACTAGGCTGGTCTTGAATGGAAAGGCCGTCTGCTGCATGCACATGGGCAACTTTGATGAGGCTGAAACCTTGCTACTGGACGCCTTAACCAAGGTAATCCATCGTTTATTTTCACTAACTTTGGAGATTCGTGGCGATCCATCTGACTATATATCCGACCGATAGAACACAGCTTTAAGCTGATTACAGCGCATTGTGTGCAGGATCCATGGGATCTGGAGACTCTGGCCAATTTAACTGTCTGCAGTATATATCTTGGGAAATCATCTACCCGCTTCCTGAGGTAATTCCGATCCATCTAATCCCAATCCAAAGTGGGATCTAAACACTGAATCATATGCATATATCTGAATTAAACAAAAAAAAAACTATGTGGCCTATTTTTCTTGGTTTTCTGAGTATGGTTTCGGCTCCTGTAACTCCAGGCAGCTGAAGCTGCACCATCCTGAATACATGCTCGTGAAGCGCCTCTCAGCCGCGGAGGAGGCCTTTGAGCGGTCCCTCCAGTGGGCCGTGCCATGGATTTCCAGTGCAAAAAATGAACAATATATATATTTTTTTCTAGACCTCTGTTTTTTCGGACTGCTTCTGGATTTTGGTCTTCGGAGATGACTTGAAAACTTTAGAAGATGCTTAAAGTTGGTGCCTTTAGAAACCCTCCCTTAATCATCTCCATGCATCTGTTTTCTTGGATGAATTAGATGATCTTCTGATCTCCAGATTTGGATTGTGATTGATCCTCAACTGTGATTGACCGACTCAGATTGTGGTCAATCTCGGCCTTTGACTTTCCTTCTTGTCAATCCTCATCTTGGATTGTGGTATAATAGGTCGGCAAAGAGCTGACTTTCCTTGCGCTTCTGCTGCCACTTTAGCGGAGATCTGGGCCGCCAGCTCCCAGCTGGAACTGGACGCCTCCAGGATTAGAGTCTGAAGAAAAGTCAACACATATTAGAAAATATATTGTAATTATCATTGATATTTATATATTTAGATAATTTATCATCCCAACACGTATTGAATAAAGTAAACCTGTTGGAGCGAACATGAATATATGGGCAGTACGAGGTAGCTTCCGGTCTACTCTTTTTGCCCACATTAAACGCGTGAGGATCATATTTTATCCGTAGATTCTGATATCACATGGATATTCACATGGAAACGACTGAATTTAACTGATGTTCATGACAATGAATTTCTTTCCTTTTCTGACTACTACATGGATTGTGATGGTAAATCAGCAGTCCGCCCCTGCCTCTGGGCTTACTTTGCCAACTATTAGCTCCGCTGGTAACCATTTCCATTGCCCATCAGGTTCTATTTTTCCTCATTTAGCATGAAATAATCAGCAACCAAAATAAATCTTTTTTTCTAGGTAAATTTTCCAGAAATATTTATATTATACCGACAGCCGCCATTCTCTCTCTAGAATGCGGTGATGGGCGGCTTCTCAGAGTCCTGTGCTACTTCTGATCGGAAGCAAGCTGGCCCTCTGTGTCCTCTTCCTCCGACGCTCCATCCAATCAATGCCCACGACGTGTCCGACGGAAGTACGTCGCGAAGGGAATGTATCAAGAAACCAAGGCCATTGCCGTGGTATTTTTCTCAGGTTCAGACACAGCTTTCCCTCGCTGGCCCGTCGGCGGCTTGTCTTCTCCTTACATGTCGGCAGACGACGACAGACGCAGCCGATGGCCGGAGATCTCGGTGGGCTCCCCGTGAAGACTTCGGACAGTGACTCTCGAACCATCTGTCCGATAGAGACTTTCACACGCTCTCTCACTAGCGTCATCCACAGCCTGCTCTGCTCCGAGCAGGCTTCTGAGGTTGTTTTGATTTGGCCATGAACGGGCTCGGCTAGGTCGGAGGTCCGGTCCGATTGGCCTGTTTCCTTCGTGGTTCTGTCGGGCTTTTGCACGGTCTGGGTGTAAAGTCCGAAGCCCGTTGGGTTCTTTCTCTCTCTCTTCACCTCTTAGCTTCTGGTTCGTCCATGCAGAACCAGAAGCCCGAAGCACGGTCAATGGCTTCCATGCAGGATAAGCGCACCCGTGATCAACATAAATGAGACGACCTTCTTTTTGTCTTTCATACCACGAGGAACGGCGCTCTCTCTCTTCTCTCTCTCTCTCTCTATAACTGAGAGTGAGGAACGCCGCCTGGCCAGATATGGTATGAAACCGCCTGGGACGACGGTGATTCGAGGAAGAAATTGGAGGCTGAGAAGGACAGAAAATAAAAATCGCCTCTCCGCGTTGTGTGCATGGAGATGATATGATCAAATAATCGGCGATGGGAGAGCTACAGGGGACGTCACCAGGCGGTCGCAGCACTAAAGTAGTAGAACGTTCTCGAGCAGACGATAGGAAGAAACACGCGGTGACCCAGGAGAGAGATGGGAAAAGGAAGGAGAGATAGAGATACCTCGAGACGTCTGCCTATAAGAAGGGGGGAACTCCTTGTGGGGGTTTACGAAGGCAGCTCTGCTTCATCAGTCAGAGGGGAAGAGAAGAGTGAGGACTCCCTGTGGGGTTTACGAAGGCAGCTCTTCTTCATCAGTCAGAGGTGAAGAGAAGAGTGATGACTCCAACAATGGGGAAGCTCCTCCTGTTCGTCTTCCTCACTCTGGGGTGCAATATTTTATCCTCGTCAGCCTGCACCTATTGCCCCCATCCCAAACTTTCTCCGCCGCCGCCGCCGCCGCCTAAGAAAATCCCCTGCCCTCCTCCTCCGCCACCGCCGACGACGGTGCCGTGCCCGCCGCCGCCGGCGGTGAAGCCCCATCCACCGCCGGCGCCGGTTTCGAGGGGATGCCCCATCAACACCCTCAAACTGGGGGCCTGCGTTGACCTGCTCGGTGGGCTGATCCACATTGGCATTGGCCCCAGCGCCGCCGACACCTGCTGCCCCCTGCTGAGCGGGCTTGCTGACCTCGACGCGGCGTTGTGCCTCTGCACCACCATTCGCGCCAAGCTGCTCAACATCAACCTCCTACTGCCCATAGCCCTGGAGCTCCTCGTCAACAGCTGCGGAAAGCACGTGCCCTCCGATTTCCAGTGCCCCAACTAGGTTCCTTGGCTTGTGGGTTCCCATACCAACAAGACTTCGTAAAGAGGAAGAATGCGAGAGAAGAGAGGATGATCGTCGTCTTTGTGGTGTTTCTTTCTAGAGTTTCATGTGTTTGGAGCTGTTAATCTGTAATTGAAGCTTTTCCGGGGGTGAAGAGGATTATGGGCCCCGGAAATCGTTGCGTATTCCTCGTGGGAATCGCACCGTGGCCTGTGAACCTCACTTTCTGGTAATAAAATCTTCCTTCTCCGTGTTATTTTCTTCTCTCTGATAATATCCCGCCTGTGCGATGAATGGGACGTGCAACCCCATTCCCCCCAACTTATCCCCCTGCCCTCTCTCTCTCTCTCTCCCCTACTCACACAAATGGACATACATATCTGTGTGCATTACCTGCTCTCTCTCTCTCTCTCCCCTACTCACACAAATGGACATACATATATATGTGTTCATTACATGCTATCTCTCTCGCCCTCTCTCTCTTCCTGCCACCGGCATTTCTCTCTATTCTTGACCTCGTTAATCCCCCCCTCTCTCTCTCTTCCTGTCGCCCCCGGATTTCTGTTTTCTCTTGCCCTCGCTACCTTCTCTCCGCATCTTTATAGATGTGTATGCTGTCTCTCTCTACCTCGCTCCCCTCGTTCATTCTTCTTTCTCTCTCTCTCTCTCTCTCTCTCCGCGGCTCGCCGCCTGAGTCTGCTCGCCTGCATGAACGGGCCCCATGACACGTTCCTGCGTGCACACACGCGCAGGCCGCACGGAGGAACAGAGATGCCTAACTGTACATGTGCGGGCGTTCATGTTGGCGCACAAGCGAGATAAGAGACCTCCGCTCCGCACGTGCCGTCGATGGGGGAGCGGGGAGAGCCACACTAGAGTGGGTGGCCAGTACGCGTCGTAGCGCACCACGAAGCGTGCGGCAACATGAAAGCCAGTGGGAGCAGCCCACGCTGCGTAGGAGTTAACGTGTCGAAGAAAAAGAAGCATCCACGGGGAAGATGTTAGCCGTCTCTATCGTGTTAATAAAACACGAGAGCTGCACCACGTATGCACTCTATTAAATTATTAACTCTTAGTTAATATTATTCGACATATATTTATGCACACATCTTATAGTTTTAATTATACTTAGTACTAATCAAAATATTGTCATAGAAGAGTACGATCCATGTTTATGCCCTTGAAAATTTCGATGCTAGTTGACAATGATTTTAATCGGTCATTATTACCTAATTTCAATATGGTCTTCTAGTTGATAATGTACGTTTGGATGACTCATATATTTCCAAAAAATAGTTACAACTAATCTCATTTTCAAACTTCCTATTTCTCACATGCTTTTTATACAAACATTTTCAAAAAAGCATTATAGATAATCATTCTCATCATTGACAATATTGGAAAGCCATTAACTATAAATGATTGCATATCTAAATTGATAGCTGGATCTGAAGCCACATACTTTTATATGAGGAAATGGTTGGAGGAGATGCCAGCAACAAGGCTACAACTTTATAATCTTTCTACAATTGCATTATAATCCTACTGCTTGGTTGAACGGGTCTTTCTCACATTATTAATGTTCATCATGTAATTGAATTATAGAAATAAATAAACGACAAACAAGTCTAATTAGTCTATGGTAGATTATTGATTTGATTTTGACAACACAGGACAATAGAAAAATACACAAATGAAAAATAAATACTTAGTATTGAATCTATAGTTTTTTCTCTCGCATTATTAGTATGCATCATTTAATTGAATTATAAAAAATAAATAAATGACAAAAAGGCTAATTAGTCTATGGTAGAATATATATTTGAGCTTGACAACACAAGACAATAGACAGAGATGCAATTGAAAAATAATTATTTACTAGTGGTTTTGTAGTTCACACATCCACTCATTCCAAGAGCACCCTTGTTGGTATCAACTAATCCATTTACAAAGGTTACAACACTGAATTATGACTTTGTTCGCTATAGTTTATGAAAGATAGACTTATGATTCTATTTGACAGATCAATTAGTATTCATGGCACCACTTAAGTAACAATTTTGAAAAACCAAGTTTTATTAAAACAAAGTTAAAGAATGAAACTATAAATGTAACATCTACGCTGAAATCAAGATAGAAAAAAGATGACTTCACAAGTTAATTGAAGGACAAAAAATAAGTTGTATTCCTAGTTATGCAAGTTGGTAACAAAAACCTTTTGGTCTATAAGAACCTTGAATGAGTCGATGCTGTTTTCAATGTGGAGTTTTTTAAAAAAATCTGATTATGATGTTGAAAAATAGACATAAGGGTAGAATAACCATTTTCTATTGACGTAATTATGCCGCATGAATATAAAAGTATTAACATTACATTTTAGTAGTTGTTACAAAAAGTCATATAAACATTAGGGAATGAATGCATATTAGTTTCTCACTTTTCTTCTTTTAGGAAAGTGAATTTACTCAGCAGATTGGTCACATTGTAAAGGCAGACATTAATGTACTAACGTTGGCTAGTGAGACAAAAATATGAAAGTGTTAACTCACAACATGTACAAAAATATTTATGTTAGTTATATCCAATTATTGAAACAGCTATGACAATATTTTTGTTGGGTCCTTGTTAGGCTAAGCAAATGCACTAATAGGGAGTTAAATTAGTATTTAACTATACTTGTTATTTTAAAATATATTTTTCTCTGATTCTAATCGCTATGGGTGAACACATATTAAATTGGATTGACACACTTTTTAGGTTAGTCAACACACTGGTTGAGTGGGTTGACACACTTTTATTCTATGTTAACCTAGAACCTCCTATGTGGATAGAAACAAAGATTTTATAATGATTTTGCTTCACTTGACCTGTGTCTACTTTTCATGGGTGGGTCACAACCCATAGTTTCCATTATTCCTTGGTAGGAATATAGCTCAACTTGACAGAATCAGCCTTCCCCCTTTACATAATAGACTTCATGGGAGTATCAACCCATAGTATACACCAAGGCAATATTTAACTTATTTACCCATGTTGCAATTGCCTCTTTGAATGTTTTCACATATAAACTTATAGTGATATTTGTGTTCTTATAAGTTTCTTCCTTGCTAACATGAGAACTTGTTTTCAAACTTTCTTACTGACGCACTTGGCATCAAGGAGACCTTGAAGCCTTGACCAGGAGAATTCATCAAATCCATCTAAATTCAATCCATTTTTTGTTGCATCATTATTGCCTTTCAAATATCTTTCAAAATGAATGGAATAACCTATGTTTAGGAGACCAATTTTCCTCTAAAACTATTTTTTTCACTTTCAAGCCTGAATATTTCATTGTTTTACCTTTGACGCTTCTATCCTTTTCGTAATTTCACATATAATTAATTGACCTACCTCAATACAGAGGAATGAAAAAAACCTAAAGATATTTTTTTATATTGTGAAATTACTAAATTACACTTCTATAGATATTGTCCTAATCAAAATAGTTTACCTCTTAAACCTCACAATTTTCACTCTTTCAACATTTGATAAATGAGAAATCAAACATTTATAAAAAGGGGTAACCTCCATTTTTTTATAGTTATTTAAGTTTGAGTGTTCAACTTTTTGCATCAACTTAAGGCTCCCCACTCCATATTTAATAAATTTTTAATCCCAATATTTGAAGGTGTTTTTTAGTTTTTCTTTATTGTAGTTAGCTCCAAGGCATAGAAGGATAATAATGAAAGTGAGTGCTTTGTGCACTTTCCTTCTGTGGAGTAGCTCACCTACTGAAATTAAGCTTGAGGTTCCAAAACATAATGGAATAATCATTGTAATAAGAATTTTTTTATGAGACATTTATCACTTCTATATACATTTTATATACATTTGTAAGCTCAAAAAATACTAACGCAAATTAGGTTTGCTTATATGATTTGATTCTGTTTTTATAAAAAGGATAGCTTTGTTAGCGTTCAAGCTGAGATTTTAATAAAAATAATACAAATGAAGCTTGCTGTTCCAACTCAACTAAATGTGTTGATGGGGGAACTTAGTGTTCAGGTATAATCATCTCCTTTCAATGCAATCATAAATTTACAAAATACTTAGTTTTCATATAAGTTTATTGGTTTCTTCCATATTCATATCAATAATAAACTTAGATTCATACCATCAAATGCAAAAATGTTCTACTCAAAGAGTTGTTTATACAGTTGTATATTTCAATACTATTTCCTCTACTAGACAAGTGTATCTTTATCAATAGTACTATGCAATAGAGATATTACAAAGCAAGAGGACTATTTGCTTAAGCTAGAGTTTTTCTAAAATAACTACCATTGTATGACATGAAACAAGATTTCTTCACTTAGCCAAAAGTTATTTGAGTACATAAGCCAAAAATCATATACCTGGAAATTCCCTTAATAATCTCTTTCTTGTCTCATTCAATGTTTTACAACCTTATATTGATAGGGATGTAAAGAGAAATATATTGGTTTGAATATTGTTGTGATGGAAATAAAAAAAGATCATAAGTACATTCTTGTCACACTAATGGTTGGGTAGACCACTAAATTATTGGATCTAGTTCATTAACTATGATTATGATTTCTAGGGGTAAATAAATAAAAATGATCATCAAGTAAGATATCCAAAAGAGAGAATTAAATTAGGAAGGAAAGAAAATACTTTAAAAAGAGAGAAAAGGAAAGTAGAATCAAGTGGTTTTAAAATTGAGAACAAATGGAAGAATATTGTAATATTAGAATGAGTATACAATATTATTGGTTTTCTTATTTTTGAGCCTATGCTACTTTGTGGTTGAGAATAATGTTAAACAATGTGTTGTTATAATAGAAAGGAAGGATTGCCCACCATGGAAGTCAAACCACTATGTGACCCACCAAGTATGAACATGCTAGAAGAAGCACAAACAAATATATCTAGAAATATAGAGTTGCAATCAAAGATCAGAAAGAATTATGCACTAGGATTTACATGGTTTGGAAAAG